TTTAGACATTTACTTCAGCTACATCCTTTAACAAATTAAAGGAAAATGCTTAAACTTTGAGAGTTAAGGAGTACAAGTTAACTTAACTGGTGCAGCTTCTGCCGTTTTCTTCCCTAAGTTAATTTCTGAAAGTAATTCCTTCTCAGTACACTTTCCTCCGACGTTCCTATTTCTACGTTTTTGAAGGTATCACTTTTCGGCCTGATAGGAATTCGACTTTCTTGGGATTTGTCTATCTAGTGCGTCTGTTTTTTTAATTTTTATTTACTTGAGATGGAACAGGATGGATACATTTGCTAGGCACCTTAATCGTTTTAGCGTATAGTTTAAAATTTTAGCTGTATACAATCTAATTAATAATAACCTGTTAAAACCATTGTAACCATAAGGCTATAATGATCCTATTACTATATCTACTATATATACATTAGAATGTTCCGGTATGACTTTTTGCTAAATCGATGACGCGGATCAAAATTCGCTGCTTGTTTTTCTTAGACCTGTTTTTGCTTAATATTTCCTGTCACTTTACTGATGGTTTTTTTTTCAGTTTGCTGTTTATATCTTCAGGCTCAGTGAGAGGCCTTTTAGGACACTGTGTGTATATGCCGATATACGGTTATATAGATAAAACAGGGCAGTAATATCTATAGTTTCGAATAACCCAAGACACAATTAAGGAACCTCTTTATTCGAAAACCCGCTAACATGTTTTTAGGCTAAGGCTTATAGTCTCTTCTGAATTATAGATGACAAAAACGTAACAATAAAGATGTTTTCATTCCAAATTTAATTTTTATCAAACTATATATATTTCATCAAACTAAAAATATGCTTCTAGTCTTTTCCAGTGCTAGTTTGTTAGACGCAGCTTGTGTCAATTAGACGTCCACGATGTAAAAGGTTGTGAAAAGTTAACGCGCTTGTTCTCTAGCACAGTTCATCAAGGTCTGCTCTTTAATTCTAAAAGACCTTCACGGAGCGCATATAGGGGGTTTAGGCACTGCCTGAATGGTTAATCTCTTTGCAGGGTCTTTTTCTTTAGCGTACTGTCTCTTGAAGCTACGAGGTTCAGCGGAGTCGTTGGCCACGTAAGCAGAAAAACGTGTCCCAATTCTAAATCACGAGATTTAGGGGGTTGAGGTGAACACAAAGGGACTAGGAACAGACATCGGCGTAGAAACTTTACATGGGTCGGGAAACAGACAATGGGTTACACGCAAGACGCATTGAATCTAGCTAAGCAACCAACGAAGCAAGTAGTCCTGCTAACATCCGTCACGAAGGGGTGCTTGCGGAGAGGCAGAAAACGATTAGGTCATCAAGACGTCCTGGCTTTACAAACTCTCGATGTTTCGAGCTTTACGTCCAGTATCACCGTTAGCTATTATATGAGAGAGTCGGCTCCCAGCGCAAAACAACGACCGTCCATGCCCCACTTCAAACCCACACCACAACATTTCATTGGGTTTACAGCCAAAAACGTTACCCACCAATCTATCACGAAGAAATGTTAAAACTCAGAACAAAACAGCTCCACTGCTTTCGATAGAAGATGCCACGCCGTTAACGTACTACGAAGCGAACAGACAGTGAACAAGTAAGCGGTAATGCAAGCGGTTACTGCTACCTATAGTTGAACTAAAAAAAATGTTAAAAGACGTTATTGTTTTGCGAACGTAAAACCCATCGACAAACAAAAATTCAACGAAGCGAAGAAACTAGGACCGTGTTGATTTCACTATGACAACTATTTAAGTATTTATTGTTGGCAAAGTAGGTATTGTAGACAACGATGGCGGCGCAAAAATGAAGCAAATCGGGTAAATCAAAGCATAAAGACTTGTTCAGTAACTTTGGACTTTGAATTTTGTCCCCCAAGGTGCACTTGTTCGCCCAGTTCATCGAACTGTTAGGCCCTGTTGCCCTGTTTTCGCGCAGGCTGCAGACGTTACGAGTTGCTTTGCTTTTATTTTCAGGGTAACTAAAAAAAGAATGGGCTTATAGCACGTTTTTTATATTTGTGTATATGAAAATGTCATTTAACATTTAAGTTTGTTTTTTGCTTACCCTATATAAAGGGATAGATAAAGGCGGGAATGCAAAAGGTAGACAAAGATTGATTAAGTCGCAAGTCTACATAAAAGCATACATAGAAAATTAATGGGTAAAAAGAAAAGTTAGGCTGTGCTTTGAGCAGCGTCTTCTTTATTTGCTAAGCAATCGTTTTTCTATTTAAAAACCTATTTACTAAGTTGTGTTTCATTGCTTTGTAAGATACTCGTAATATTTTTGTACCATTTTTCGTTTTTTTGAGGGTTCTTAGCACTACGCTGTTATACGAATTTGGTCGTTTGCAAAAAACCGCCAACACTTATTTTTTGTGTGTGAGTGATTTTTGAAGATCACCTAAGGGTTAAACAAAATAGAGAGGTAAATAATGTTAATGAAATAGTATGAATTCCTAAGGCATACATGGCAAAAAAGTAATATTAAAATATAATAACTACTCCTGAAGTTTACTGCAAGCCGATAGGAAACGCTGACGGTCAGTGTCGTCCTAACCCAAGTCGATTCTTATCGCGCAGCAAGGACGCTTTCTATGGTTTTACCAAATGTCTCTTTCGATCGAAAAATGGGTCAAGGAAATAGACAGAGCACAAAGTACAAGGAGTTTGTTATCGCTGCAGAACCTCAGGGACTATAAGTATATTCTTTATAGCTAGGAAATCGTTTTTAGACCCTGGGCTGCTTCTCTGTACTGGTTTCGATCGTAAAGAAAATGTATGTATCATAAATGTGACTCAAAACGGGACTTTTTACGTAATTAATAGCATTTCCTTGCAACTGTCATATATATATATATATATATATATATATATAGGCAAACCACTAGCACTTACATGTAGATAGTGGTCTGCTTTCGAAAATAATTTTCCTTTAACTGCATAGGTACTTCTGTTCAACAGCTGCCTAAAGGCCGGTTTGTAATCACAACTTGCTCGAATCTCTCTCTATAGGCGGAACATCTGAATATTGAAGTTATCGAACAATGCTTCAGTCCCGACGCTAGAAACGAAACTTCTTTGTGCAGCAATGTTACCCTGATAGGAGGGTGGTGGCCCCAAATCCTCCCGGAATGATGCATGTTTCAGACGACGTTGTAGCGTATCCACACGTTATAAGATAGTCGTACTCGAAAGCGGTAACAAGTACATCGTGGAATAATGCATCTTTCGCTGTGGCGTGTCTCGTAGTATAAATAGGTTCATGAAACTATACAGGCAAACGGGAGTAAGTAAAGCTTAGGTGAACATCTACTTGAGATAATGAGGGGTTCTCGGACGACTTTGGGGAGCAGCTCTCCTAAAAGACGGAGACTGTTCGTAGATTTTTAGGTAAAAAGGATATGAGTATGGACTCACAATCCCCCAGTTCTCAGGTGGCCGCGGACAAATTTCTGAATGTTGAGTTTTTGTCATATATGCATTAGCTGGCATCTATTTTCAGCTCGTTTGCATTTGTTATACATGATGAGTCACTAGAGAGTATTCTACAAAAAAGCAATTGTCATACCATGTCGGCCGTACACGCGCCTATATTTTTAGTGCGAGCATTACAACAGGAACTTTTACCTGCATTCATTGATTTTTATGTTTTCAATTCTATCAGTGTTTATCTCGTAACTTACACAGAACCTCAAGCGTTATTGAATATGTTTGTTTTCTCTAATTGGCTGTTTAAAGTCGTTTATTAGATTTTGAAAAGTTAAACGTTACGTTTATTTTTAACTCTACCGAAGCACACAGTCGATTTTTTGGTAGTAAAACTTTAGCAGGCTTTTATTGAATCTTTATTAATTTCGGTCATTCTTATGGTAATTACTTACGCTATCATAATCATTATCATGATCCCCGCTCTTCCTATCCGATTCTTCCACGCACAGTCAATTATGTAATAGGCTTTCAGTCTGAATAAACTGATGTGATGCTTAAACCAAAATTCCAGTTTTTGCCCCTTCAGATAATTTATTAGCTTAATATATATATATATATATATATATATATATATATATATATATATATTAAGCTAATTATTATATTACATATATATATATATATATATATGTAAACGATTTAGCATTTTTCCGTGGTCTTAGCTGCTGTGAATATTGTGATCTTCTTCGTCATCCTTGAACCTTGCTGTTTTTAAATGGTCCTGAATGGTTTTTACAGATTACAAACGTCATTAGCGCCTTGCACCTCTGTCGCCTCAGCGATCTTTAAACGCAACCCTCTTCGTATCATGATACCGACTCACTTGTTACTTTTCATCTTACAGCTCAGTCAGCGCATGCTTGAAATCTGTCTTCATTCCGGTTGATTTCGTAGAAATTTCGAATAGGTTTTGCACCCCAGAAAAGTTAGCTCTAGCGTAATGACTCAATAGTTAGGTTAGGTAGTATCAGCGATGACTTAGTTGGTGTGGTCGCGTTAGATGACTTCGAGAACAATCCCTCGCTGTGATTACGACTCCTTTCTTCTGGCTGCATTGACAAAAATCATTGGCAACTCAACATTTGTTCTTAGTTTTGCTCTTTCACGTACTCACTTGCTTCACCGATGTTCCCTGCGTACGTGTCCATTCGTCGGTATCTTGACTGTAGTTATTGAGACGTCGCAAGAAATATCCAAGGCAACATCTAATTACTGAACTTAAAACATAAGTTTCTTAACTTAAGCACAAGCAGCGAGGTGACGCCTTCCCAACTCAAGCCAGATAATCTACAGACGTTGGTCGCCATACGTGGTTATTACATCTCCATAACTTACGTTAGAGGCCCATCACTTTCGATAGCATGCTCCATGGAAAATAATATACTGTGTCATTGATAGTTGTTTATTAAAATGGTTCGAGTGATCTTTATCGCTCAGATTAGGCTCATTGCGAGAGGGCTCATTCAATACGTGTATTTTTCTCATTATTGATTTGAATAGTTCACATTGGCCTCATCGTGCACGTGCACGTACACGTTCAGTGTACATTCGTTACCGATGTGTCCGACGATGATAATGCTACTGTCGAATGAATCACTCGACTCGGATTTGTTTTTACTCATAACACTGCTTGATCATTGCCTCTCTTCGATCGTCCGTAGTAATTATTTCTATCATCATAGGCGTTATTGCACTTTCTTACTTGTAATTACTAATACATACCTTGTTGGTGTGTGTGACATAGTAATTCAATTTGTCCTTTTTTTTTTTTTATTACCATCGTAGTTTTTTTTTCATCACCATCAGACATTTTCCACTCAATAATATATACATCGGTCCTTCACTCATTCAAGCATTCGACAATGCCTAATAATCATCCCATTAGTTACTGTCTTTTTTCTCCCACACGGTGCGAACCCCACAACGCGACATCCCAAAAAACACATGTTTGTTTGTTTGTTTGTTTGCTTACTCAGTAATAGTATTGCGATATAATAATGATAACAATCAACTTTGTTTAATCAATACCTCTGTAATACTAATTAAATACAGCTAGTTATACTATGGTTTTATTAGTAATTACCATCATGTTTAACATATAGTCAACACTATGTGAACGCCTCGTTGATCAATCAACCTCTATATATATAACACATTAATAACGCTCATGATACTGATGTGATAATATGGGTACCGATATGTTTGCGGTTGTCGGGTCTGGGGCGGGCGGCGGCTGAAGTGGGCAGAAAAGCACCGTAAAGGAACTACAATATTTGATCAGCACCTGCTAAATGGTCTTATATTCAGACATGTAGTATTTTCTTGCAAAAGCCTTGTCGCTGCCGTTGGAGTTTTGTCGGCGAATCAGATGAAGCAGAGACAATTGCTTCCTGTGTTTTGTCTTGGCTGGCTGGCATTATAGAAAACAGACACTGTCATTTAGTAGACGTCATCAATATTCACATCGTACTGCAGAATCATAGGAAGGCGCCTATCCGGTGGGCAGAGCTCCGCCATCGCTCTGAAACTTCGCATACGTCACATATGTTCACATAGCCAATGATCCTGGCAAAGGAACGTCGCCAGGCTAACTTGTCGTTACGACCGCCATGTGTAAACGTTGCGAAACTCATTGATAGATCTTATAGGTGTTTGACGTGTTGCCCGAATTAAGCCTTATCGCGTGTCTACCACTGCGAGTTATCTCATTATTTACATACCTCAGAGCTCTGTGCGGGCACGATGAGTCTGACCGGTTTGCAAAATCGAAACCGTCCTACTTGCGAAAATCTTCATGTCGGTCTAGCAAGAGAGTATGCGGCATTTTCCGCAACGTTACTAACCGATGAAACATGATGCAATGCTGCTAATTTTTGCCAGCTCTAGAAGGCCGCGGATTCATCACGGTTGTTGATGCCTGTCGCATACTGTTGTAATGATAATAACTATACTAGTGATAGCAAGCGAATAGTTATTGACTTCTGCACTAGACACTTCACACGCCGAAACGCTGAACGAGATACGGCGTGAAAATGGTCCTCGTGCGCGCCTTGATCTTGCACTGGTTTAATGGTGATTGGGCCCATTCTGAAAAGGCAAAAAGGTTAAAAGAAACAAACACTGTGGATGGCCTTAACTTGCTAGCTATGCCCTTCAGGTCTAATCGCGTTTTAGATCTGCGTAATATTATACATAATGCAATACGCTAGTGTAATTGTGTTTATTTGCCTCGAATAGTTTCTTTTTAACGGACATCCAGCCAAATTGGAACGCTTAGCATTTCCCTATACAGCCGCTGATTCTAAAATAAACACTTAAAAAGCACCACAAATTCACAACAGCTACCTTACACCGGTTCTTTTATAGGTTTTTCCTGCATCACAGTAAGATTAGAACATAATGCCTTCACGGTCGCCTTAAATTTCAGGCTGTTGCAGCTGCGGTAGCGACGGTGAGGTCTGTTCTTAGGGACAACCTCAACGAAATCATAAGTAGCGAAAGATAGCGGGAATAGTGGAATACGAAAATCGGCTTCTTGCTACAACAGCCTTTACTAGGCATAAGCTATGAAGCCACCCGCTCTGTTTAACCACGCCTCTCTTCAGACAACAGCTGTAAAAAGTTGTGAATTTGCAAAAGACCACACGTTGTGCGTCGGCCGCTTTAGATACGACGTTACGGTAATCTTCTAAACAACGGTACAGTGTAAAAGGGGTTAATACAATACTGGCTTTAAGATCTGGATTTCGTATTAGCAGGCTAAAAACACTAATCGAACACCCTTTACTGTGAATCAACACGTATTTTTAGAATACGATGACGATTGCTTACACAAAGGGGAGAACCAAAAAAACGATAAATAGTAAGGAAAATAGAGACTGAGCCTACACCTCGATGCAGTAAGCCTGTATAGTATTTCCGTAGAGTGCGCCTGGCCACCAGCCTATCCATTTACGGTATTTTCGAGAGACGAGACAGAAGCCAAGGACGTACACAAAAGGAAAGAAATGAAGAAACTAAAAAAACTTTGGAGGGGCAAACCAGAACGAAATAAGGTTACGTCAAAAAAAAAGGGCGCGAAGACTTTGCCTGGCTTCCAGCCGGGCTGCATTATATATTCACTCCATCCGCCCGATATCATGCGTTTTTGTACATTTACTATATGCTCCTCGTGTTTGTGCTTTGCCTCTAAACGGTGCCGCTCTCCAGACCAAGCCTGAATCCTCATCCTTGTAGTCGTCCTCTTTGTCATTGAGTTCGTTGCATTCTTCGAGCATTCACATTTGCTCTCTGGTTCGTTTGCGCTTTCAGAGTTTTATAGTCAGCCTTCCTCTTCCCTGTTCCAGATTTTCCCAGAAGGAGCGTGCAAACCTGAAAATCCCTAGGAAAAGCTATCTTTGAAAGAACCGCTAGCGCCGGCGTTCATTGCCTCTCAGAAATGAGCATCGGATGGTTGAGAATGGAATGTACTTTTACCCCATCAAACCCCTCGTCGTTTCTTCGCTATTGCCAGTTTTACCCGAGTGTCTCCCGCTCTACCTTTTCCATATTTAGCCTGTTGTGTTTAAAGACGCAGAACGAGAGCGATGGCTGCGGAAGGCTCTGGTAAGCTATCGGGAAAGTAATTATTGGAATTGTACGACCCAAGAAATAATGGCGTTAGAGAGTACATCGGCGACGAAAAATTCACATATAATTTTCTTCGACCGCCTTTTAATGACCGGGCATGTTCTTCACCGGCGCACTGAGAGTTTAGCGGAATAGAGGGCCGGTTATGAATGTCTTTGTGAAGAGGAAGCGAGGTACATCGGGCACTGCAAAGCTACAGCGTCAAAAGCTTAAACAAAAATTAGAATTGGGCACGTCAGCGTCGTCATGATCACCGTGGTAGAGATTTTACGACTTATTAGCGAGAGGCGCGCTCGTAATTCCCTATAAAGATGAGTAGCGCAGACTTCGATTATCTCATTCGATGACTGTGGCTGGTTTTTTATGAAAAAAGAATTTTGATGCCGCATTGACATTACTAATTATCTTTTAACAGTAAACTGAGCTTGACGCAATTTCAAGCCGTCCAAGTACCCGGTACACCACGTTGGTACGAGTTAATTGAATGTACATGCCATTGCACCTATTTAATAACATGCCATTATACTTAATTCCTGCCTTTTTAAACTGCTAATTACCTGCATTGTAACAGTTAGATTGTACAACTGAGGTTTAAAAAGCGTCAATCACAGCTAAGTGTAAACTAAATATATACTTAGCGTTTCTAGGCCATCCCGTTCTAATCACTAGGACTAATCGTAGAAAAAATTCAAATTATACCCTAATTCAGCGTACTTTTCAACCACTTTCAAACTGCCTTTGCAAAATTCTTACATTAACCTTAATTATTATATATTAATTAATGTTAATATATTGTTTCGTAGAAAAGGTAATTCGGTATCTAACGTTGTGTGCTACGAAGTATTTTCGCTCTAACTATAAATATATTAAACTTTTTATAAATTTTATATAGTGTTGTAGCCAGTTTTTTTGTTTTGCGAGTCACATTTTAGAAAACATTAACTTGTACATTATGTTTATCGAGTACACTCACCGACAAATTCTTCAGTAAACGTGGCCTGACTGCTTCCGTCGTCCTTAGCGCGCACGCCTTCGTTTTGCGAAGTCGCTTGTGATTGCGTGGAAGGGTCGGGACATTCATCGCCATACAACTGAAACATTCCGTTCGAAAACAGTTTATCTTTACTTGCAATCATTTCTCTATAGTCTAGATACTTGTAGAAATATATACCTAGACGGGATTTTTAGGACAAGTGGTGAGTCAGCAGAAGAAAAATTAAGGGCCACTGTTCTCTTAACGACGAAATTGCAACATTCGTCTATATAGCGTTTAGTAAATGACAATAGTTACAGCATAAATAGATAGATAGAGCAGCACAAACGACTTTAACATTTTACAGTTATTCAAGTAAGATCAGTTTCACTATCGTTCGCTCAAAAGCTATTCCCTTCCTTGACCTTTGCGGTAAACCGGACATTACTGCAGGCTCTCAAGCTGCCGAGCTGTTGCCTGCAATATTTCATTGCTGAACTTAGTTTCGACACACTGCTTCAAAGTGCCTTTGAATATTCAGCTGCGACATTTGTATTTAGTAAGGGTCTAAAGACATAATCGATTACAAGAACTAAATAGTAGCACGTTTATTAAGTTCTCGGTCGTACTCTCGGCTCTTAGCTGAGATTGCTCGGACCTGCAGCGATACTTACAAAAGGGTCCGCTGCAACTGCGACGGCCGTATGCGCAGTATGGGCCGTAGTTGCGACTGTGTCCTGCGTGCCATGTTGACCCACGTTTCCTGCAGTCACCTCGGACATCTGCCGCTGAAGAGCAGCTGCGGCCGAACACGCCTGATTATAGCGGGTTGCATTTGCCGCCGCTGCCAGCCTGATGATAAGATGGCAAAGTTCAATGGAGTAAATACAAGTAATATATGTTTATGGCAGACGAGTATATTCCCATACAGGTATATCGTATCGTGCTCGTTGTAATATTATATTATGTCATTGAAGTTACAGATCCACGAGGGTCGATGGAAACTGTGTAGATCGAACAATAGCTCGAGCCCCGTTTCATATTTTCTATTTTAACTAAGCAGAATATACGGCTTGTTGACGTGAACATTTACATGTTGCTCGTGTACATGTAAACCTCCGCATATACCTATTTTGTAGATAAATCGATGATCATTCTCAATAAGGAAGCGAAATCCGATTCGTTGAGAAGATTTTAAATGGTTAAAGTACATGCAGCTGGTAGCACATATATACAATACAACCTGCATAGTTGTACAGCATATACGAGAAGTAAGGACCCTTTTAATCAGATACCGTAAGTATAGACTGATGAGTATTAATGTCACGGTACGATATGCCGCACGTATATTTCGTCGATAAAGGCCATCGCTCCAAGGCTAACAATCTACAGCTTCTACCTTCCTTCTTCACACCATTTGTGTGGCGGACGGCTTTTTCAAGGCCGAACTCACTTCGAACCCTGATCCCAATGAACAGATCGTGCCTCCAAGCAAAATCAGATCCTTAGTCAGTTTATGTTTGAAAAAAGTAAAAAATTATCTTCTCGAATCAAACTGCACGAACCCAACACCTAGTCGTGCTTCTAACAACTCGGTCCCCTAATGGCTATCATGTAATACGTATATATAAGAGCTTATAGCAGCGGTTCTTCGGAGCTGCCTGTAAAGGTGCGCTATATCCCCTCAGAAAACCAGAAATTCAGATCTTTACTATGGAAAGCGAAAATGTCGTGCTTGTGTTATAAAAGTGTCTAACTTGTCTGTCGAGCATGACCATCTCTTTGACATGGTAAAAGGCTTCACGAATATGTGGCCTATTCAAAAAAATAGGCTAATAAAAGTGCACTTATCAATTGTTTTTCTAAGCCGATTTTTAGATACGAGTCTGACTCTGCATTTCAGAGCCAGTGCAGTAAATTTTTTTTATCGACAACAAAATAAATGTTTCAAGCCATTTATTTAGAACGTATTAGCATTGCATCAAAAACGGTAGAATCTGTTGGATATTTCCTACTTGTATTAAGGATGCGAAGCACTGACGCCACCTATACATAAGCACGGGAGGCGAGAACATAATAATACCTAAGGGTGACGTGGTCATTTGGAACGCCATAACACGCACGTCTGTGGTTTACTTAATGCAATGTTTACTTTGATATCCTCTGTTATTAATATCCTGTTACCTTTGTAATTGTTGTTGTTGGGCAGCCACCGCAACGGCGGCTGCTGCCGCCTGAGTGCTCGGCTGGAGTACAGGAAGTCGTGGCAGGAGGCTAACAGGAACCAACCCAGCAGGTACTTGAACCTGACCAGCTCCTATTGGGCTCATGGCGTTGACGGCCAAACTGCGCGAGCCACCCGCACCGGTTAACCTGTTTAGCATATAGCACGGCAAAAACAAACGTATAGACAATCTGGGTAGAGCGGATTATTTTAGCTTGTTTTTTGGAGCTTGTTTTTATATGGATTATTCTTATACTATACTTTGCAGAGAAATCTGCTGATACTAATTGAGTCGTCCTCTATATACTTGAAAATTACGATGCAGGACGATCAAATCAGGCACTTCTCCCATTCATATAGTGAGGTCAATAAAGCTAGTGTAAATATTTATGACATAATGTGTTTTTCTGCGAACTATCGCACTATGGTTGGTGAAATTAGACCATCCGTGAAATAATTTTGTCTGTTTTCTGTCCGTTCAGGACAAACTGCGGTTGTATATAAGATGACACCTGTTGTGACCGAGAAGACTGCTAAAAGTCCCACTAACACGCCACACATAGCCAACATGTTCAGCGCAAGGGTACACTGATAGTATACGTCTATTATAGTAGCCGAGCAGCTAATCGACCCCTTTTTGAGGCTAAAACGATATCACTAAAAATCTTTGTTTTCGTTCTGAGTGCTTTTGCAGTGTTTACTGCGCGAACAGAATCACCTATCCTCATGTAACACTCGCCATAACATGGTTGTTGTATTGATTACGTACCCGATTGCAGAAAATGCCGTCACGGAAGGGAACGCAGCTGCCGTTGTTGCTGCAGGCGGAGCTGCTATCACAGGAGAAGTGGTCGCCTGCAAACCTGACGGGGATGCAGAAGAAACACCCAGCGTAGGACTCTCCCGTTGCGAACCCCCTAGGCCAGCTACTAGTTCGCTTGCTTTTCGGCTGTCGCGGTTCAGTAGAGCCAATTCACGAAGTTGGTTTTGCCGGATGTCATCATAATAGTCCTGCAATGTCACGCGGGTAGAGATAATGACGATGACGACCACAACAGCAACACAAGCAAAACATAGACGTATCTCCACAAGGAATGGTGGTAACAGAAAAAGATCGAAATCGTTACCTGTTTGCCAACGAGGTCGGTATAGACACGGGACTGTTGAAGCATTATTAAGTGACACTCAGAAAAGTGGCTGTGTATTTTGTATAACCATCTGCTCTGTGTATTTGGGTTCGTTTCTTGCATAGCGTACAGGTACGTTCGAGCTACCTAGGTTATTGGGCCTACATGAGTTAAACGTGACTGGACATCAAATGTATTTTGGTTACACGATACCTTAAATAGCAACCTGAAAAGACACGGACTTGGAAATTACATGAACAAGGTAGCTCAGATAGCCAGGGCTGTTCCACAGTGTATACGTCATGCGTGGCAGATTTTTAATAATTCATACATACCAAGCATCTTTTAACTTATAAGTGAGTTAAATTATACCTGTTTATATATCCCGAAATGTGGCTCAGTGGTCAGACAATAACGTCAAATGTTTAGATAGGTACTTTGCTATATTACATTGTACGTTTGCGTAATCATCTAAAGTGTTAGCGTTCTTATTTTTTCTTTTACTTAATATGGGATAGTGTTTGAAAGCCATTTGACGGCCTAAAAAAGTCTCTCGACGATTTGAAGATCTTTACTATAATTTGATGTTCGGTATTTCATTTTAGTGCAATTTAACAGAAGCAGACAGAAAGTTTATTGTCGAATAATTCATAAATAAAATCTTTTTATACGGAATATCTCTTAGACTAACGGACGTTGATCTAACAGATGTCGGCTGGATAGAACCTCTTCCACGCCAGATTTGTCCTCTGATAGAGCAGCGCGTAGCGAATCTACCCACCAAAGGCATGTCGTAGTTTAGGTTTAAATCTGGGCGCAGTCATACCTCGCTTCGTGTTGGGGGCAAGCATTGCTCAATGGCTTAATGGTAAGCATAAAAGTACGAAGAACATTTTTTGTCCCGTCGCAAAATGCTTCGATCAGTTTATACCATATTTAGTTATCACTGTATATAGTGTAGAGCCAAAATCCAATGCCGCTGATTAAGAACGGGCTATTTGAAATATTTGGATTCTCCGCTCTCAGTCTCGGCATGCGTGATTATTAACCTTCATAACGCAAGCAAACCGCCTAAAGGCGCACTTGCAGGCCATGAAAGGAAACAAATAGAATGGTACCAGTCTAGTTCTGTAAGTTTTTTTTTTCTTTACATACACAACGTGTCCCTCTAGCTCATTCGGTGGCTGTCTCCTGTCAAACTGAGCCTTTCATGCCTCCGATAGTATTTTGTGCACATTGAAGTTTTTAACATTATTAACTATACAATATGAAAAAAAACCTCGTCCATGATATCCTTGAGAAGGTTTTACAGAGATTCAGTGATCTTAGAGATACTAATAATAACTATTTATTTTTACTGTGTAGAGGTACAAGTAGGTGCAGCTGGTATGACGCATTCAATTAATATGACCAACAACGTTGTCAGGAGGTTCAGGCCTTGTTAGGTTTGAAACTCAGAAAAGCAGAAGCCAGTGGATGTTCACCTAAGGGCCGCCCATGGAAACAACGCGGGGGTGCCTGTACATCAAACCCAGCAAGCTCATCGTAGCCTTTAGAGCCGAACATTCCGGCCGGGAGAGCTGCGAAAGGACGAGGCACTGCTAAGCGATGCTACCAATAAAAACCAGCGATGGGTAAAGTAGCGCCAAACCGAAAAATTGGACTACGACCAACGTGTCGCACCGGCTCCAGCAATTGAGGGCTTCGTAAAGCAGATTCTGGAAGCATTGACGAGTGGAGGACCGGCTGTAGAACGCAACGCTTTGAACGAGACGCATTGCAGCCACCCACGAGAAAGATCGCGGAGCTTGAAGGAGGCCAGATCTTGAAGAGACGCTAAAAACTACACAGCGGATATATAGGAGGCTGCAACTCTGCTGTTCCTCTCCCCAAAGACTCTAAGCAGTATAGACATATTCAGGCTAATGGAGACTTCACTAACTAGCCCTTTTTCTGCGTTTCTAATCTATGCAATGCTTAGCATTGAAGAACAACGGATCAGACCGCTTTAGAGGAAGCATATCCGTTCTGTAAGATCATAGGAAATTTTGTCTATCATAGTATAGGAGACCTCGCACCATGTCATTGTCTTGCATGGCTAGCGACTAAGTCCCGTAACGGGTTAAGTCCTGTTGGGTGATTTGAAATCAACGTACGTTCTGCTGGAGAACCCCGTCGGTAGGATGAAATCGCTGTGCTCTCATTCTGTCTCTCCTCTAGTCAGCCGAATTCGACCCGCACTACGGCTCCTAAAGACACTATCGTTGCTGGGTGATCAATTCCGACATTCCCACAATATGCACAGAGTTAAATTACCGATATTTTTTCCAGGGATGGAAGAAAAGCATCAGGGCAAAAATAATTTATTGTCAGGAGGCGCAAACATTTGTATTCACATACCGATGACGATAGACCTTACTACCCAAGGTGTGCCTTCACGAACTACAAACGTTAGGTTCTATCGCGACGCCTCGCTGTAGACAAACTCCTAAAACGTAAATTTCTTCCTATATCTGTCGTGGTAAATACCGAAACTTATGCGCAGCATCTGGTTGAAATTCCCTACTTTATAGTACAGCCCCTCCATCCTCTTCGTAAGCACAGGTCGTTGTTTAACTGTGCTTACAGCTCTGCCTACGTAAAGCCGGCTTCTGTCCTTTAGTTTCGGCTTTGAAGAAGATCTGCCGGAAAACGTATGCGACATGAAGGCAACAATATTTTGAACGGCTGGAGACCCCTTTGATTACCGATGCAAAACAGGCTAACGTACCACAGCCGTTAGACAGCTTACCCAGTTGGCTCGTATCCTCATAAATCACTCCTAGAAGATGCTTGCGTTAGAATATACGATGCCATGCGCGGTGCTTGTTTGCCGCAATGCAGGAAGAAGTGGTATTTATACTACGCGATATCCTTCAGCAAGACCGATTTCACATTGCGGAAACTACCGTAAGGTCTTAAAAACCTATGCAGCAAGAAAGCCGCCGGTCTAGAGCCTGCAACGAGCATATTAAATGTGTCATAGTTCTGGCACCGTGCTAAACAGCACTACTTAATAAATAGTTACATACTGGTACATCCCCGGCTCAGTGAAGAGATGCCAGTCTATTAGCGATCCCTAGGGAAGGAGTAACTTAACCACGTTGTCGTCACAAGAGAAATAGGGCAGGAAGGCGCTTGTAAGCTGGTCTCCAGTTTGCTGACTAAAGAATTATTACTTAGAAAGCATACACGTCAACCCAAGAGAACACCGTCGGCTTCGAAGAGAACGCTTTACAGAAACAGTCTACTGGTTCCTGATGGCCTGCGTTAATAGAGTACTGACCGCGTCGCGCAATACTTTATACGCGGTATTGTTGACTTGGCGCCCAAAGACAGGGTTATGCTCACGATGACCGAGGTAGGTGTTGCTATGGATACGCTCAGGCTTTTCGCTATGATTTTATAGGAGAACAGGAGGACCATCGGCGAGAGTGGCCGAACCCCTGCCTTTTACATAGACAATTAACCCGGCTCAGGGGGTCAAACAAATTCCAGGCATAGTAGGCTCTAAGTCGGCTCCACATGGCAGTTACAAATTTGGGACTAACCGTAAACTTAACCAAAACGGGGACGGTGAAATTCAGAAGCGGAGGCAGGACAGCGGTAACTGATCCTACGCCAATTCGCTTCTTGTTATGTTCACTGATTTATGTTTCGTTCGGGTTGCTGTTTTCCGCAAACGTCGGAAGTGTCACAGAGCACGTCACCAAACATGCGGCAAAACCGCATGGGCAATCAAATTCCCTCGTCGCTTATCTTTCGCGAGCGCTTTCAGCTAATTTTACCTAAAGACGGGTCCTATCGAAACGTATGGGATACACGTCGTTTGAGAAGATCTTACAGTCGAGAATTTTGAACAATTGAATTTCGTCAAGGCCATCTTCCACAAAAGAACACTGGAACTACACACCGTAACTTAAAATCGTTTTACGTATCCCCTAGCCGACTCGCCTCTACTATCGAAGGACCTATTGAGAAGAAAAATTGGCAAACAGAGGTAGTTTTCTTTTGCTTCAAATACCATGAGGAAGAACGCATAAGAAAAGGAACCGACCAAACAGACATGTTGTTACTCGTTTCGCCGTCCATGGGTCATAGCATAGTTTCTAGACGAAACCTGCTTTCTATGAACACCACTATACATGTCGATGTTTCAGGTACGGCGGAAATTGTGATTGGTATTATGTTTCTTGTTGTCATCTAGGAACATGTTTAGGGCACTCGGTAAATTCCTAAATTATTATTATAAACCCAACAAGGCTCACATAAGCCATATAACGTAAAATGTTTCGAATTATTCTACATTAGATATATATATTGAGATGTTATGCTGCCGACTTGTATATTAGCAGCAAAGATGAACAAACTGATTAATTACTTACGTGTTTATATTGTCTCATATATAGCAGCCAGCACTCGCTTATTAATTAGACAGGGTCGAGCTCTTCCACAACGGTAGATCATTTATCCTTTATCTCTGCACCCTGCTAAAAATCGCTGCTGGTGAAACTGCGGTAGAAAACAATCAGTTGTCGGACTATACATTTTGATGGACGTTCTAGTTCCGCACCTTCTTTCTTCGTGTCCCATGTGTTCCCCTATGTAATAACCTGATTGCACGTTGCTAAAGCAGAGAAAATGTAGTGCCCTTTGTAGGATATGACTCCGAATTTAATTGATGCGACGAAATGATCTTATTTTGGTCAAACCTAGACTGTGGCTAGTAGGACCACATAATGATAATGAGATCTGCTGATGCTTATACTTTTCGCCTCGGTTGTTCTAATAGGATGGCTCATAGGTGATTGGGTTGGCAATGGGTATTGGCTGCTTGATCGGATCCCGAAAGCGATCGCTGTCACAATATTAGATTGGGCCTCTAGGCTGCGTCGGAGCAGAGAGTATCGGAGAAGGGGTATTCATGGGGCGATAATGCTTCGGGTATGCTCCTCCGTCCGGAAGGACAGGGCTATATGGGAGGGCTGCTTATCATTTCGATCCGTCTCGCCTCCAGTCTAACTATAAGCTGCAGAAAGGGTAAACGACTCCGAACTTTTACAACGAGTCGACTGAGAGGCCTTTCCACGCTCTCTAGTCATTGGTTCAGTGCAAAAACGTCAAAAGAACTTCGGCTAAATACATTGACGTTGATAGAGTTTTTGAATAAGTAAACTGTGCCTTCTACGACACTTAATTTCTCGTACAAACAGGAATATTTGATCGCATTAGAGAATTACTGTGACAGAGTATTATCGAAAACAAAACTATTGGAATTCTCAGGTGGCACCATACGGTAGTAATCTAATGCGATAAAATAGCTGATGGTGGACTTAACAGTATAGAAAGACTCCTAACATGACGTGAAAGCCGTCGTGAGAGTGTCATATAAAAATGTCATCTGCCCGCTTCCAGTTGTTCCCTTGTACGAGGCAATTTCCGTCTCGAAAAGTACGTCATAATTTGCTGCGTAATCCGACGTTTAAATCGACACACTAATCAATATTATTTATTGAGCTAGCAACTCTAATCAGTTGAATGTTATGAGTCTTACGGACAAGTCAATATATCAAAATTAACTAAGAGGCTCGCCTCTGGAAAATTTTCGAATATGGCGGCCGCGATTGCTGCCGGGAATCACAGTTGGAGAACGTAATCCGTTAAATATCAACAATACTGTAAACCAAAGTGTTGGAACAACAACGGTAATAGCACATAGGCAGTGTCTGTGCCATGATGTCAGCGTTTTCCCTGCCGAAATACCACGCAGAACAAACACAACTCAAGAGCGCGAAGTAAACTCACTACTATCGCGTATTTTAAACATTTAGTTGACAGAAACGTGATTACGAAGCGATAACAGTCCCGTGAGCAGCAATTGCGGACTGCAGTAACCATAATGGTGGGCAGGCGCTCGAATGCCAAAAAAAAAAAAGTTTGTCTAAGAAAATCCCCTAATCACTAAGCGCCTATTTTGGTGGGTAGAAATCGACGGAAATTTTGGAATGCCCAAGATAAGCTGCTCCTCTTCTTCAACGTCCAGCTGCTGGCTGGATTCGCATTAATGCAAACGCAGCTTCCATCACCAAAATATATCGGCCACTTTTAGAAGTTCCCACCATTACGATACATAAGGCTGTGCAGGTTTCATATGAGATCTATAGCCACTATTCCTAGGTAAGCCTGCCGCTCATATCTGCTATCATCGTTTAGAAGAGAAAATGCTGTTTCTGTGGGAGTTGACGCGGAAATTCGTTTAATGAAATAACGGTGCAACAATCAGGCTCACGAGGACAGACAAAAGTAATTTGTTTGCTGAATTCCACTTTAGAATATTTGCTGTAGCCTTAATTAAGCTGATGTCCATTTACTGTATCAGCCCATAGCTGCACCTAACGAAGGTAAAGTAAGTGTGAGGTTGCTCGTCTGTGCCGACTTCTTTTATTCTGGAGAAGTCCCTTTTTTAATGGAAACAAATTTCCTAACGGTTGTATTGCTAAACTTGCATAACAATCCTTTTGCCTAGAAAAGCAATAAATAAACATAAGTGTATGAAACACTTGGCGAAGTTAATGCAAATGCTTAGAATCTTTTAAAAACTAATGAGATTTGCAGAATCAAATTTAGCAAAACACAAAGAAGTGTTTTTATCGCTCTATGTGCACCGTACTTCCCACCGTACTCCTGTAGAAACAGACAAGACACCGCCAACGCTGCCAAGAAGAAACTTCGTAGTAACATTGTTATTGATGCCATATCGCTATTGCTCGACTCCACCGAAATGGGCACGTTGATTTTGTCCAATATCAAAAAACATCAGACACTCTACTGACGCGTTGTTATCACACAATCTGCTGGGGTTCAGCTGTGTATCAACTTGCCTAGTGAATCAACTCCGTTGACTCGCATGACTCAAGATAGGAACGTCCATTCTGAAGATGAGGCGCTGGAACGGTAAGACAGTTAATGTGACAGGATACCTAATACAAATGCCATACCATACTACGATGTGCACGTGTAGTCCCGGTTACTTACAGGAACGAGGAAGGGCTTTAGTTCGGAGATAGCATGCGCCATCCGACTATAAGCCTCGGCTGGAGGAGCGAACGTGGTCACCTCGACGTGCAGATCCTCATGAAGATGTGAGTATTTTGGGTCCGACAACTGGCGTAATTCTTCTTCCTGAAATTAACATATATAATATAATTCTTCCATACGGTAGATAAGTACATAAATGTTTATATTCGTTTTGACAGCCATATATCGCTGTTATTACGTGTTACGGCCTTTTTCTCCCCTCTATCTATTAATAAAAAGTCATCGTCAGTCGTCAATTTGCGCTGTTCATTCCCCTCCTACTTGTTGCGGTTACCTTGGCTTTATCGCGGAACGATCCGCGTCCGAGGATGGCCATCTTCGTTTGTGTCTCCTCTTGTAGCCTTTTCAACGAATTTCCCTTGGGTCCAAGAAGCTTTCCAACAAAGTTAAACTGTAACCAGACAAAGAAAACAGTCAGAAAAGAGCTAAAGCCATCATAGATTTAGTACGGTAGACTAACTTCGCTATAGCACCGATAGCATTTGCAGCCGTGCAGTCAGTTGTCAGCTCACTGACGGTATCTTACCCACAGTGTTTTTGCGTCACTCTGGGCTCCCATCGACTCTGGGGCAGGCCAACTACCTCAACAAAGTCGAAGTGCGCTTATCTCCCATGGGAGTATTTCCATCCTGAATGTTTACAACACACGTTGTATGTTTCTATGCATGGCATTTCTGTCTACCTATCCGCTTAGCTAAGCGATTCTGCGCTTCAAAAGCGTTTAGTATTTATCCTCCGTCTGGACTTTTCGACTCATGCGTGTGCACCTAAAGTAGGTATGCCTTTGTATAATGATTTTATTTGGTTAGGAAATGCTGTAAGACGTTAAATTTTCTTGAAGGCGCGGGAACCTTATTTGCTACAAAAATTGTCCGGGGAAGTGTTGCAAAGAAATAAAGATTGAACCTTAAAAAAATTAATACCCCCACCAATAAATACACTATTGCTGCTTATTGTACCAGCCTAGTATGGCCACGGCAGCTTTGATATACTCGAGCGGCTACGCCCACTGCGTGATTGATAGCAAAACATATACGCGACCACAAGCCTCGCGCTGGTAATTATAACGGACAAACAGAGTGCCACAACCTTTTATTGTTACGTTGTTCGAGCCTTATCTGATGCCTGGCATTTAGAACTGTCTAGTGAAGTTTTTATTTAGTTTATATGAGTATGTTGACAGTTTGAATGCTGTGACGCACAGATAAAGGCATTACTAACAACAGAAGATATAGTTTGAAGACGGAAAAGATAAGTGCCACAATGGCTGACATCGATAATTCTGTACTACTGCAGACGCTAATGAAGGGAGAAAAAACAGAATTTTTGTGACTGCGGTCTTGTTTCCTTCAAAAGGCGAATGGGTTTCGTGAGCTGTGGCACGTAACTGAATGACACAGAATCAACAGAAATTTCAGGAAATCGTCTCTTTTTTATTAAACGCCCCTGTCATGCCCCCACCCCCATATGGTACCATGCCCATATCCAAGAACCTTTTTAAATCATTGATTTATTTTTTATATCCTTATGGTTTGCGTAATTAGGTAATACTTCGAGCGAATTTCTATACCGTGACAACAAGGTCTCTTCCATTTCCTCTGGACTTGCACTGAACCGTGTGAACTGAAGGTGACAAACTGAACAGAGGTTCGCATACAAATAAACACAGGTACACATACAAACACACACACCTCATCCATAACTTTAAACAAAATTCTCCAGTGCTATGTACCCAAATCATAAAGCAGTACATAAATAACGTGAATTGCATCACGTTTCGCTCTTACCTAGTCGTTCCCTTCTACCAAGCATCTCAGTCGCTCATTTTTAGATTCAGGGAGGTCGGAGGTTGAATCTTCGCATACCAGCCGCTGTGGATTTACTAGCCGAAACGAAGACCCACTATTTTTGCCCATTGCTACTGTGATGCTTTTTGCCTGGCGCCACCGTGACCACCGACGCTGTTGCCTGTGCAATGGGTTCGCCTGACAGAACGTTGGTTCCGCTCAGCGAGATCTGATGACCCTGCACCACGTGTTCGAAAGTATACCCTTTATTAGCGCAGCAGTAAACACTATAGCAGTTATTTTAATCTCTGTTATCCCTCCTGCCCCAAAGGTTTGCCGGCAAAGGGCTCTAATGCCAGCAAAAAAAATCGAAGCTGGCTATTGGCTTCCCCTGTGCCTCTTCATGCAGCTTGGCTATTCGTATTAGCCTGAAGCAGCTGTGTAGATGGATTCAAGAGAACTCATACGCTAGGCGACGTGCTCAGTGAATGGTTCGTGGCCAATATCATATTTTCGTTAACTATCATCTATCATGAGCCTTGGCGACTCTGCTGGTTCAATGACGACAAGGAAAGTTGGAGCTTGCGCAAATCCCTGTGCTAGCACATTGGTTCCACTCCGTTTGGTCGTAGGCCGAAGACGGCGGCCGCGGCCAACAATAGACGCGGCAGGAACTAAGTCAGTTGAGGAATGTCTTCTTCAGTTTGAACCATCATATTAGAACGAACCTGCTTTTGCGCTTTACCTATGTCTGATATTGCTTTGGACTCGACCACCAAGCAGGTAGCTGGCTTAGAAGTGACATACTTTCTCTGATCCCCTGAGTAAATCATCTTGCAAACAGGGACTGGCGGGTGGAAACGTGTGCGCGAAAATCTGTTAGCTGACCCAGCTACCAGGGCTCGTGGTAGGTTCTACGGGGAAGTAGACGAGCGACCGGGGTATTAAGGAAAAATGTGTACCTCTCAAATGCCGGGTAATCAGCCTGGTGTAATGCTTGAGCTCGCTCGAGTATACGCTGTAGACCACTATAGTGAATTTAATTCACATAGAAAATGGGCTAGCTCACGGTAGCTAACGGCGATTTGTTTTTTGTTTGCGTAGTAGATTGTCAACGCCAACAAGGATTCATCTAACGAACGAGTGAATTACCGCTAATGTATGCCGCGTCTGGCGTGAAGATCATTAAAAACATTGAGGCAAATCGCCATAGAGAGGTTTCGTCACACATTCTAAGCAAGAAGCACGTTTTTGTGGGAAGCATCGTACACAAACCGTAAAACGTACAAACGTACAAAACGGAAGTAGTCAAATTTTACTTATTCACCTTTGCTAGTAGTAATTAAAACAACACAATATTCCAGTGAATATAAAAAGTAATTTGAAATCATTCAAAATAGTTTGCGTCATATCGGTTATACGGGTCCTGTTGAGCTTACTATACTAAAGACTATCCTAAACATTCTAAATATGTTACCAAGCGGCAACGAGCGACACAGTCTATATGAAAATTTCTCCCATATCTGGGGGCTCCTACATGTATCGTCAGGCTCGCGTCTCAATTTCCTACAGAGTCTGTGGTGGAATCTATGTACAATAAAGCGAGTGACGATGTATCTATTTAGGCGATTCGTCTTTTTTCGCTCAGTCCTTATTTAGTCCGAAGTGACATTCCTAGTTAATGGTTGATCTTGGAAGCGTTCCTTCAGGAAGGCTCAAAGAAGGTTTTCCGACAGTAGTGACGAGTAAATCAAGAGAGACGCGAGGCAAATCAAAGCCACTACAGAAGGTTTTGACACAATTTAATTGTTCAAGGTTGTCCACTAAATGATCTTTTTAAATGATGTTTTTTTATACGTTGCGATCTTGAGACCTGATAAGTTGAAAGTGGTTGCAAAGAACAGCTGATAAGACAATTTGACTGTGGCCAATGCTGCTTTCCTACATCTTTTGGCTACACTGTCAGTGGAGTGGAACTTCTGCCGTTCGCAAAAAAACAACCTTAAGCACAGAAACACATTAAGATAGATGACAGGCACCCTGGTGTAGGCCTGTGGCCGCTGTCCTGCTTTCTCTTCTAGGCTTCGTCGCCCCCATCTCAAATGCGTGACTGCCACATGGTGCCGGGATAGAGCTTACTATACCTGGAGCATGTTAGATCCGTAGATTAAGTCAGCCCTATACAAGGTGACCTCGACTGCCTTCTTCGTTTATCAGGAAGGCCCTTCAGTAGGATGAAAAATAAGAATGAACTTGAATTGTTGCTTTGAGCCAGGTGGAAGGTGAAAGTCAATGGTTACTTTCCGTTGTCAATAGCTATTGTGCTTTCCCGTCGAATCGCAACGAAAAGATCGAGCACATTTATAGGAACAACGACCTTGGTAATCGTCAGCATTATTTTATCCCTGGGGGTCAAATCAAATGCTGCCTTGAATTCGACAAACGTCACGTATAGCAGATTACGCGGCGTGACCAATGGTCACTTGACGTCAGCCACCAGGATTCTGCAGGTCGTTTCTGTAGAGCGATTTCTTCGGAACCCACAATACTCCGCTGGGTTGGCATGAATGCTTTCCAAGTAGTTGTCCTTCAGTCAGCAAACCAGAGATCAGCTTACAACAAACGCTCTTCTTCGGTACCTTCTCCCGTGATAACGGTGCGGTTAAGTTACCCTTCTTTTAGGGATTACTAACGGCTTTGCAGCTCTATACTGGGCCGGAAATGTACCAGTAAGTATTCATTAAAAAGTGCCATTCGGCATGGTGTCACATTGAGACGTTCGTTGCGAACCTTATATGGATCAGCGGCTTTTTTTGTTACGTAGGTCTCAAGACCCTGCAATGGCTCCCGCAATGTAGTACTTCGTTGAAAGATATTGTGTTGTATTGATATATACTTCTCTTTTCAGGCTGCGGCGAAAAACGGCACGAAGCGTGGTATCATATGCTCTGGACGGAAACGTCTCTGAGAAATGATTTATGAGAGTTGAGGGGCTAATCGAGTTAGCCGCCGAGGTGCAGTAATGCACTACCCAATTTCTATGGTTTACGTTCTGCATCGACGGTCAAGCGGCAAGGTATTGTTGTCTGTGCGACGAATACGGTTTTCGATAGATCGCCTTAAGAACGGGGCCTAAACTAGAACCTGGACTGGATTTCTGGCACAGGTTTAATATGCCATTTGAGCCCTCCGGATAAGGCTGGAAGTATAGTTTAACCATAGCCTATGCTTCCGAGGTGGGGGGCCGAAGAGGCTGTATTATAGACTAAAGGTTTTCAACCAGATGCTACATTTAAGTTTCGGCATTCACCGCGTCAGGTATAGGAAGAACTTTGTGGCTGCGTTCCAGGAACTTGCCTACAATCAGGTGTCATGGCGGAGGTTGGCGTTTGATACTCCATGCGGGTGCACCGTGGCGATTGATGCCTATCGATATTGGCATATGAGCATGAATACTCGCATCCCGTTGACAATGAATGATTCTGACCCTGAAAGTTAACTCAATCGCTCTCTACGCAAGTCGCAAAAGTATAGATAACGGAATTTTCTGTTCGTTTCAGGAGGGCGAGCCAGGAGGGCGAGGGGTGAAATTTACTACTCCGCT